TAGATATGGTGAGATGTATGTTGAGTCATTCCTTTTTACCGAATTTCCTTTGGGGAGACGCTTTAAGGACTGCTGTGTATATTCTTAATCAAGTACCTAGCAAGTCTATTTCAAAGACTCCTTATGAGCTTATGACTGGGAAAAAGCCAAGTTTAAGATACTTTCATGTGTGGGGTTGTAAGGCAGAGGTGAGACCTTATAATCCTCAGTTGAAAAAACTTGATCTTAAGACTGTCAGTGGATTCTTCATTGGCTATTATATCGGTTCTCGTGGTAGCAGATTTTACTGCCCTTCTCATTCCATCCGGGTTATTGAGTCTGACCATGCGATATTCTTTGAGGATGATTTGGACAGTGGGAGCAATGCGCCACAACCAGTCACTCTTAGAGAAGACCATGTTATTGCTCCTGTACCATCCATTTCTTTTCCTGCAGATAATGTGATTCCAGTTGTTCGCGATGAAAATGATTTTGTTCCAGATTTTGTTGATGCTACATCACATGTAGTAGATGAACAAGTTCATGATGATATGACTGAAGAGGTTCTTTTGAGGAGATCTCAAAGATTACGCAAGTCTTCTATACCTGATGATTATCAGGTGTATCTTCAAGAGCATGAATATGATCTTAATGATGTTGATGATCCTACTACTTTTAAAGAGGCTATCTCTAATTCTCATGGTTTTGATTGGTTAAATGCTATGCATGATGAGTTAGCTTTTATGGCCCATAATGGAGTTTGGGATCTTGTGGATTTGCCACTCGGTTGTAAACCAGATGGGTGTAAATAGGTCTTCAAGACTAAGCGTAATCCAGATGGAAAAGTTGAGAGATATAAAGCCAGACTTGTAGCAAAAGACTATAGTCAGAGGTATGACATTGATTATAAAGAGACTTTCTCACCAGTCTCTACTAAGGATGCTTTTCGTGTGGTTATAGCTTTAGTAGCTCATTTTGATTTAGAGCTTCATCAAATGGATGTCAAAACAACTTTTCTTAATGGAGATTTATTTGAGGAAGTGCATATGATTCAACCTGATGGTTTTGCTAAAAAAGACAATGAGCATTTGGTTTGCAAGTTAAAAAAATATATTTATGGGCTAAAACAAACTTCTAGACAATGGTATTTGAAATTTGACCAGGTAGTCACTTCTTTTGACTTCAAGGAAAACGCCTCAGATCAATGCATTTACTTGAAGAAAAATGAGAGTCATTTCATCATTCTTGTTTTATATGTTGATGATATTCTTCTTGCAAGTAGCAATGTTGAACTTTTGACTGAGACAAAATCTATGTTAAATAGCCATTTTGATATGAAGGACCTTGGTGATGCCTCTGTTGTTCTGGGCATTCAAATTTTTCGTGACAGGTCACGTGACATTCTTGGATTGTCTCAAAGAGGATATATTGATAAAGTCCTCAAATGGTTTAACATGCATTCTTGCTCCTCATGTGTAGCACCCGTTCAAAAAGGTGATAAACTCTCTAAATCTTAATGTCCTAAAAATGATAATGATAGAATTGAAATGGAAAAAATTCCATATGCTTCCGCTGTTGGTAGTTTAATGTATGCTCAAGTTTGTACTTGTCCCGATATTGCTTTTGCTATTAATGCTTTAGGAAGATACTTGAGCGACCCGGGTTTGGGTCATTGAAAAACTGTTAAAAAGGTCTTTAGATATTTGCAGGGAACTAAGGATTACATGTTGACCTATAAGAAGTCTGATCAACTTCAAGTCATTGGTTATTCTGATTCTGATTTTGTTGGTTGCCCTGACGATCGAAAATCTACTTCTGACTTTATATTTAAGTTGGCAGAAGGAGTTATTTCTTGGAAGAGTGTTAAACAAACTCTTACAGCTATTTCTACCATGGAGGCAGAATATGTTGCTTGTTATGAAACTACGTGTCAAGTGGCTTAAAAATTTGATTTCTGGCTTTAAAATTGTTGAAAGCATTTTTAGGTCACTTGTGATATATTGTGACAACACTGTTGCCATACATTTTTCTCAAAACAACAGAAGCTTTACTCACTCAAAGCATTTTGATATAAAATTTCTGTTTGTTAGAGAGAAAGTTTTGGATTTTCAAACTCAGATTGAACATACTGCTACAGAAAATATGTTAGCAGATCTACTGACTAAAGGCTTAACTATTGGAGTTTTTCAAAATCATGTAACTCATATGGGTGTGGTTAAGTCTTTTGATGTATTGGGTTAGTGGGAGTTTGAGATTCATATTTTATATTATTATGGTTTTTACGATATGTAAATTTATCAATGACGTCATTTTCATTACATCTCTTTGATACATAAAATGTATGAACCATTTTGGGATCACATATTTATTATGTTTGGTTTTATTTTATTTATTATCCATTATTTATGAAATCTAAGCATATGGTAATCATCCCTATCGGATATTATCTTTGTGATTCATATTTATATTTCTTAATTGATACTTGTGCTTTTGTAATTGATATAATTTATTTATTTATTAATGTTATCCAAGTGGGAGAATGTTGTATTTATATAATTTATTATATATATATATATATATATATATAAATTATTATTCTCTATTTGTTATGGATTAACATTAATCAATAAATTAAATATTTGTAATTATCAATTATATTACACATTATCATTATTTTATGAATAATAATTTAATTTTAGTTTCGATGAACGATCGGTGATGGGTTGGATTATTCAGAATCAATTATTTATTGAGAGATCCTTGATCTCTGTTGATAGGTGTATAAAATTGATATCCTATTAGTTAGTTTTATGGGTGACAACATAAAACTACTTTACACGATACGTTCAATAGTAACCTATCACAAAGATAACAATATTCTCTTATACGCGCTCTATGAATCCTTTAACGATTCTGGGTATACAATCTTTCTACTCTTTTGAATATATTATATTTATTGTATCTTATATTGTTACGTGTTTTAATCAGTAATTCCTAAGTACTATGTGAGATCCATCATTTGTTTGGGCTAAAATATTGAATTGGTACTCTTATTCTGAATTCATTGTATAAAAATAACAGGATGTGTTGGCTTAATGAAGCCATTTTCGCCTCCAGCAAATGTTTAAATATCGAATAGTTATTAGAATGCAGTGAAGCAGAATGTAGTTACTATTCCATTGTTCATGAATAAATAGGAAAAAAAATGAGTTTGGTTCTCTCCCACACCTCCCAAAAAAGAGGAGTGTTGTAGCACTATCTATGTATAGAATATTTCCTTATGCTGTGTAATTAGGATTAGACTCACCTAAAACCCCTCTTACCATTATTCTGTACAAATTTGTAGCCTACAATCTCTACGTTAGCTTTTGTTTCAGTTATTTTGAATGCCTACATATTTGTTGAACCTACAGCTGTAAATTATCTTAAAAATAAGATACTTCTGCAGTTCTCTTTTGTAGTTGGTATCGGAGCTTCTGATTCAGGAGTCTCTTTCCCACACCTCAGAAAACCTTAAGCTTGCCTTCACTGCAGTCACAACCACCTTTCTGCAGCCGATTTCTGAACTCTAGCTAGCCACCATCACTCTGTCTGTTTCTGCATTTTTTTTGTACATTTGCATCCAGTACCAGGTCAGCCAGCATTAACTGCCATTCTCAATTGTAGACTTTTGTTTACCACCACTTTTTAGACTGACAGCACCACTGACCATCACCAGATTAGCACAACACCAGGCAACCCAAAATAAGAAACCATTTAACTTGTTCTCACATGTGCTTTTTTTTTGGGGGGGCGATGTCTGCGGCACATTTGTTTTGTAGATTGCAGCTGTTTTATTTCAAACTCTAACCCTAATCACACTATTTGTTATTGTTGGTTCTGTCATAGTTGCGAGGGACCCAAGACCATTCTGCTGCCTACTGGGGTTCAACCAGATCGATTTGAGCTTTCATGACCATTCAGCGTTGCCTTCATCTAATTGAGTGAATGGTAAAAAATATCTCCAATGGGCACAGTTTGTTAGGAAAACTTTGAAGGGAATAAAGTGGTTGAACCACATTGAAAGAGAGACCTCAACTGAGAGTGATCCAACAATTTAGGCATGAGATGAGGAGTACTCTATAGTTATGACATGGCTATGGGGTACTATGGTTCTAGAAATCAGCCACAGTAATTCTCTACCACTCAGAAGATTAGGGATTACCTCCATCAGGTTCACACCTATTCCATGAAGAAAGATATATTCCTTTGTTGTGAATTGGAGAGTAAAATTTTAAGTGCCAAACAGGGAGCTCTCTCGGTGATAAGCTATTATGAAAGCATGAATAGCTTGTGCGTGGCGCTGGACTTTTACCAGAATTTGAAGTTGAAGTAGTGAAGATGCTACCACATTGACTTAGTGGGTTGAGAGGTCTCAAATTTTCAAATTCCCCTCTGGGCACATATATTGGCAAAGAAAAGCTTCTTTCCGAATGGTTATATCATTCCAGGTGAGGACTATCGCAGAATGGTTATGCTGAATTAAAAACCCACTGAAGGTTCAGCTTTGGCTTCTAGAAAGATTCATAAATCTGGGAACACCTCTCTCGTGTTTCGGAAACTTTCCCATTGCTGAAGGACTGACCACGCTAAGGAGACTTGCTTTAACCTTCATGGGAAGGAAATGGTTCTTAGTTGCTTAGGAGGGAGGATTTGAGGGGCCTAACAGATGGGCTTATCAGACAGTCTCCAATGCTGAAGGCAAGAGCAGTGATCAGTCAAACCAACCGATTGAGCAAGAGGCACCTGCTAATGGAAAACCTGAATAAGAGCGCCTAAAAGCCCTCATGTAATTTCTCAGTCATCTAACACTTGCTCTCTAGCTGTGATTGGTGAAAATTCTAAGTTCTTAACCTTTAATGTTTCTAGTATGCTTGAGGATCTCTAGATTATTTACTCTGGTGCAATTGCCTGTATAACGCCCTATTCTTATTTTCTTACCTATTCAACCTCATGTAGCAAACAACACATCATTGTTGGTAATGAGTCTCACTGAAGTGTGCAGTGGCACTCTTTCCTTCTCATTGTGTTTTAAGGATCTTACGATGAGTAAGACAATTGGAATTGCCAAGGAACAAGGCAGGTCATATTATCAACAGACAATGGGGATGAAGGATGTGCCTTGCAGAAGATTTGTTTCCAAATCAGCTTAGAGTCTGCGTAATCTCAAATTTGATTCCATGTTTTCTTTCTTGTGGTCGTCAATTTATGCATGATCCATATTTGAAGAATAGTTCAGGAAAGGGACTGTTGATTAAGAGGGGGGGCAAGAGGTATCAATGGAAGTGTTTACCAGTGCAGATTATGTTGGACATAGTAATCAATCACTATTGCAACATCCTGCCACACCTCTAAGGGGCGTCGTGCCTGGCCATTGTGGTGGCTGGAGTGACGTGTTTTGCAGCCAAAAATCTGGGAAAAACGTGGAGATTTGCGGGCTTCGTGGCTGCTCCTCTGTTGCGAGACAACCTCTATTTTGCAACTTTTGACAAGGACCATGGTGGTGAAGAAGAGGTGGCCGATTGCGGGAGAAAGAGGATAGGGTCTTTATTTTCTTGGTGAGAGAGGTGGCGAAAAACTAGAAAGAGGTTTATCTCTACACCCCAAATTAGGTTTATCTCTATCCATACCACCTACCATCGGGGAGGCTTTTTAGCTGTCTTCTTCTTATATAAATGAGAAGGAAGTGGGGTCCACGCCTCAAATTGGGGCACACCATCCCAAATAGTACTACAGTTTGGGAGGTTTTTTATTAATCATATATTACATAATGAACTTTTAATTTGTAACCCACATTAATATTTTTGTATATTTTGTATGATTATGGATGTGCTTAGGTTTTTTCCTGTTATATGAGGTGGAATTAACTGATCTATACTGATTCTTATCCCTCTTCTTGTTTCTATTTTGCTACTTGATTATGTTAAGTTTCAGTATTAGGTTCATGAATAAATTTAAACATATGAACTTAGGATGCACAAAGGTGTAGTGCCTTGTTACCCTTGTTTTGTTAGGGATATAGACAGTTTGATCCTTTTTGTTTTAAAAAAAGGGAAAACGAAAAGATAGGGGGACCATATATACACATACAGATTTTGCTTAGTCCTTTCCTCACCCACTCCCATGTTTGATGCCTCAGACCTTTAAATTTTCAAGGATAGTGAGTTGCTTGAGTTTTGCCTCGTTAGCAAGCTTGTCTAGGTTATTCCCTTACATTTTTTGTGTTCTGTTTTGGGAATATCTTCATCTTGTTCTCATTTCTTGTACTTGTTTCTCTTGTCTGAATAGCAAATATACTTTTACTAACCAAAAATAGAATAAATGGTTTGCTTGTTCTATTGAAATAGGTGAAGGCTTCCTTTGTCTTGGCAAAATACCTAGTCCGTGAGGCTTTAAGGATTTTGACGAAGTTGTCATGAGTTATGCCAAGGATTAGGACTCTATTCTATGGTAAACATTTTTACGAGAGCGCCAATTGTCTATGCTCTCCAGTAGACTTCCATATTCTGAAATTTGCATTGGGATGGTTGCGTTAGTCTGTTTGGTGAGCATTGACAAATTTGTATTTGGTTAAAATTGATTTGGTTGTAGTGGTATTTTGTATGGATGATTTTATCCTGTAAGTTAGTTATTAGTAAAACTCAATATAATATTTTTTATTATGCAGAACAACTATGTAAAGTTACTTCGTCTCAATCAATTTTGTAGTCAGAATCAATTCTTCAATGTTAAATTAAATGTTTAAACATTTACCTAAAATTGCATTAGCTAATACTCCTATGTGATTTTGGATAATACAACTTGAAACCAAACCCATACATAGTGATCTGAGAGCACATGCCTTTTTGCTAGTGTCCCGCTTCTCAATTTTACTTAAATATCACAATTTCATTCACTCTCGATCCTTCTCCCCCCAACACTAAGAGTTTTCTGGGTAGTCATATTGGAGTAAATGTGGCGTATACTTCAAGGGAAAGTTGGTTGTTAAGAAATGTACAAGAGTATGCTGAAACTGAAGCTTGTGTGATAGTTAAAAGGGTGAATTTCAACCGCTTAGGCATTTGCTGGTTGAGGTTCTAACTGTTGTTTGGCGTCTTTGTAACCTTGGTGATTGATATTCCTACAATGAGGTTGACTGCTAAAAGACAGCAAAATGTCAGCAATATACTTTTGTGAAATATTAAAAGTAAAAAATATTCAGTCAACTTTGATCAGAATAAAAAAAAACTTTCTGGAATTATTTTTATCATATCCAGACTGATGAAACCTGCTACATATTCTCTTGAACCAGAGAGGTGGGGCGGGAATTGAGAGAATGGCTGCTTCCTGATGCTAAAACAGGGTGACCTTAGTTGTGGAGGGTAATATCTTCTAGAGCTGTGAAAGGTGTTATACTTGCTGTCAAAGCGTGCTTAGTCCAATACCCAATCCAATGAGATTAAGAATGTCATATGAAAACAAAAATATGCAATGTTGTTGATAGACATGCTTCATCTCTTTAATATCTTAATTGCACGGGTCTTTGCAACAATGTTATTGCACTGTCCGAGGGAGATCCTGAGTTTCACCTCTAGATTGAGCTATATGCAAAGGTATTATTTAATCCAAATGACCATTTCATAATACCTTCTTGAGATTATTTGATACTGTTTCCTGCCAATTCAACCTTTTTCAGTAGCATGTATAAGTATGTCTATTTACCATTTAATGCCATGTAACTCTAGCTTGTATAACTTCTTGCTGTTAGTTATTAGACAGATAACCTGAACTTTTTGCATAGTAGAAGTTCGTAAATTAAGTTAAACACCTGTTTCTTCTCCTCAGTTTATTTGATTTTTGGCGATACCTATGCTTCAAAAAATAAATTGGTATCCTTATCTGTCTCCTGCATGGTAAACCTAACAGATTAATAACTTTGTTATTAAATTTCCTTTTAGCATACAACTTCTATCAATAGTAGCTTTGCTCGAGTTGCCCATTAGCAATTGGTTACTGTACTGATTTAAACTCTATTGAAGAAAGAGAAAAACAAGACAACAGTGATTTGTAAGTTTTGACCGTGAAATCGACGGGTCATTGGATTACTTGCTGCCTCTGTTTATAAACCACATCACTTTGGCAGGATGAGTAGGCATCTGTTCAATTTATGCTGAAATCTTATAAAAAAAATATCAGAGCAGGTTTGTTCCTGGTTCAAGAGGCAACATCTAAGAAGGTGCCGCACTAGCTCAAAGTCCAAGTACCTTTGGTACTTTGGAGACTTGGCTTTGTTGATCTCTTTTATTTTAAAGCTATAATGCTGCTGCATTGGTTCATTTTTGCAGTTTCACTATCTATTTGTTCTTAGTGTCAACAAGAATAATGTAACGGTCATTATAGGCATATGGATAGCTTAAGAGTACCCACTGAATATTCCATTTTAAGGAAATTGTTATAATATCTATGTACATATTTCTTTGGTCCCATTTGAAAATGCCAGTTCTCAAAAGATTAGGAGGGTAGATAGCTAGACTTGCTGAGGGAGAAACTTATTGCATGTTTTGGGCGAGGAAATCAGAATAACGAAACTCTGGCAACATAATTGTAGGCTAATAGGTGTCTGTACAGATCTTTACGTAAGTTTAGTCCAGAGTTTAACTGGCTCATTGATACTTGTACGCCACTTGCGTATGGTGTGCATGTAATTAGAGCCTAAATTTAATACCATGGAAGACTCTAAAGGGGACTAGTTGTATCAATGGAAGCGTATAAGGTACAACAAACGGTTGGCATGCGTGACCGTGAACGTTTGAGAGTACTTGTTATGATAATTAGTAGTTCAAATCAGATGGACCATCTTGTCCTTTAACTCCAGAAGAGTCTTCCTGTGACTGGGTACATTTTTATTTATCGATCCAAGATCACATGTTTTCTCTCAATTGAATTATTTTACTTACATACAGTTTGAATACAAGATCTTGCTTGAGAGGAGTTGTCGCGTATTGCTCAAACTAACAACCTGTTAGTATTGGTACTCGTCTATGACAATGTGTCCGAATTGAAAATGAAACAGACGGAAAAAAAGATAAAAAGGAGAAGAACGAAAGACCCAAAGAACAACGTGAGACAGGCCGAGATAGATCTGTATCTGCAGTTGGTGTCTGTCAATCACAATAATGTTACCAAACTCCTTAAAAATAATTGTCGTATGTGAGGAACATATTTCCTGAATCACGAATGATAGCTATTAACTTTTTATCAACCCTATAGTCATATACGTGTCTATGAAGCAGACATATAGGAAAAGGATGGGGTTTGGGGAGGCCCACATGGGAAGGACAGCCAAAGAGGTAGGTAAGGGTTCTCGGGACAGCCTCCCCACAAGTACCTAAGCACATGACATACTCTTGTTGCTGTGCTGGCTCTCACCATACTCAAAACAATCATGTAAATGCAATTCGTTGGCCACAATTTCTTCCTAATCCACTTGAGTTCAATCCCTTTTTCTTTTTCATACTTTCCCCTCAAAATTTTGGAGAGATTCCCCACTTGGGTGGGTGTTTGTGTGTGAAAACCCTTGTCTTTGTTCCACCTTTTTGGGTTTGCTAAGTAGGTTCATCATTTCTGATAATAACACCCAACTGATAGCAACCACGGGTGATACTCAATTTATTAATGTGAGTAGTTATGCGATTTATCCTCATTATTTATTATCCATCAATTTACCATTATATGTGTTGCACCCTTCCTTAGATCTTTCTGACTTCTCTATGAATTGGTTGGAATGAATAATTCATCTAACTCCCCCCAATTCACCCCTAAAGACATTGAAAATATGGGTGTTCACAAGTTAACCTAATTAAAATTCTGCAGAAAAAAAATTATCCAGACAAGCAAAATTAATTAGTGTTTGGTTTAGTTTTATAAAACCGTTCGTCTACTTAGAAGTGGAGGTCGAATGACCTTTATCAACCATAGCCCACCACCTGTGTTCTTACTTTCATCAAATAAATTCAAAAGTATTGTAATGAAACAGTTGCACTGCAATCTAGGAAACCAATACGCAGGTTTTGTTGGACCAAGCAGAATGTGTTGGGTACAACCTAGATATGAAATATTGTAAGGAATTAAAAAATTTCAAAGCTGTCCTCATCAACAAATTAAAAGTTGGCTACCTTACTAGGGTAGCGTTTTAGACGAAAAAAATTATACGAAAACAGATATTGGAAGGCAAAGACAAAGATTAGACAGGGAACTAAAAGGCATACGATCTTACCAAACCAAAGCGTAAAAAATGAGGCAAAAACTAGGAATGAAAAAAAGGCAGAAGACGGAGAAGCTCAAAGATAATTGTTTTTCACATTAAGAACCTCAATTATTTTTGCATCTGAAAAGCTATTAGTTGTTAGTCGTTGGATTTTGAATGTAGAAAACTAAGATTCAAACCATACTGTATTTATTTTCATTGATTCAGTTCACCAGATGGGACGAATCAACCCAGATCAATTTATTGATTCGGTTTGATCTTTTTTATATTTTTTTGTTTGGTAAAGACGAACAAGTACCCCTATATAAATAAATGTGCTAAATGGAAAAACTGATTGACATGGCTGTATTGAAAGAAAAAGTGGTTGGTTTTTGTAAAGTGTGTGCAACTTGATTTATTTTGTTGGGGTGGAAATCTAAATGTGAGTGTAGTTCAACATGTAACTGAGAGTAGAGTTGGACTAGAATTGGAAGGAGTGTGAGATAGAGAGGGAAATGGTGGATGAAAATATCATAAATAATCTCCCAAGTGGAACCAATCTTTTCTCCTCCCTCTTTCCTCTCCCTTCTTGAAAGCAACTTTTACCTATCATACTAACTCTTACCATCTACTTCCAATCATATTCACCAACAACAAAAATAAAACAGTGGCTAAAAACACAACAAAATAAGAAATACTTTCAAACATATAAATTATGTTTTATATAATTTTACATCAATTGTTCAAAAAAATGTAAGAAGAGTTACTTTTCATTAATATTTTTTTCAAGAATATGTAAAAAGTGTTTCTTTGGAGATAAAAATTTTGATAAAATAATATTACACTTCATATATTTTAAATTGTCCAAAAAAAAGTTCTATATTTGGAATCAATAAAAAATCACGGTTGTTATTACTTGTAACAATTTATTTCGTAATTGAAGAATGAGAGAAAGTCATTTTTGTTAAAATATTTGTATTTGGGTGGAAGATAAGAATACCAAACTTGCAGCAGAAGGTTGGGGCAAAGAGAAAGGGAAAGTGGAAGGTGAAGCAAAGCCCATACACAACAACACAACCACTACCACACATTCTCTCGTTTTATCTTTTCTCTTTTATCAATCAATTATCAATTTATCATCGTCACCCTTCCTTCAACCCAAATTCCAACTCTTCTAGAAACGTGTCACTGTCACACACTCTCTCTCTCTCTCTCTCTCTCTCTCTCTCTCATGCATGATAATGCACCAAACCAATATAATAAAGAACAGCAACTACCATTACCATCTCTGTGCTTTCACACATGAATAGCCAAACTACCCATACATTTCTTTCCAGGAAACCCACAACAACCAACTTACTTAAACTACTCTATCTTTTTCTTTTTTTCTTTTTTCACAATATCCAATATCTCACTTCCAACACCAAATACACTTTTTTATTATTTCTTACTATGCAAATGAAATATTAAACATTTATCATATTATTAACTCTATTTTTCATTTCATAACATTGATATTACTGATGGCTACACCATACGATATTTGTCTTATCAAGTAATATTCTAATATAACGTTAAATATGTCAAAATCAGTTTCTAAGTATATTCGGTGGTTACTTGGTGAAATCAGGATAATACTAGAAAATAGTACGTCTTCTGAAGTGCAAGAATTGATGATGAAATGAATCAGCCTCTTCTGGACTCGGAATTAAACTTCCATATAATTCATGAAAAAATTTAAGATAAAGTTTTCACAGTTTTTAGAAAAATAACATTATATCTTTCAATAAATTCTATCACAAATTATTCTAATATTTTAAGAAAAAAAGGGGTGATATTTCTTAGTTATGTAGGCACACCTATGAATTAAAGTGATTAAATGGAGAAGTAGCATAGTCCTTACGGTAATAGCAACAGCATCACATGTTAGGAGGGCATTATTGAAAAAGAATTGATAAGTGTGAGTGACTTTATTTTATATATATAAAATGATGTATTATTATTTATTAGTAGTTTATGCAAAAAGGGGGAGAGTTCACATCTTCTTGTCTTGCCTTGCCCATACTTGATCATATCCTTCCTAACCCATTGCTAATGCCTTCAAACTCGTAATATCTTTTGATGCAAATAATATAATATTATATTATAGTACTAACAGTATCATCTCATCACATCAATTCAAAGAGATGCACCAATATCACGTCTAACCTATCTCACCAACTCACGTCTAGAAGCACCAATATCAGTAATCACTTCCTTTGGGTCAAAAGCCTATAAAAATCAGCTCTCAGGGCCGGCCACCCTTATTGTTCCACCAAAACCACACCCCCAATCCCACCGCCACAACAAAATCACATCTTTCTTCGTTCATTCATTCATCCATCTCAAAGTGGAAGAACAAGAAGAAGCAGGATGGGAAGGTCCCCTTGCTGTGAGAAAGCACACACAAACAAAGGTGCATGGACCAAAGAAGAAGATGATCGCCTCATAGCTTACATTAGAGCTCACGGTGAAGGCTGCTGGCGCTCTCTCCCCAAAGCCGCCGGCCTTCTCCGCTGCGGCAAGAGCTGCCGTCTCCGCTGGATCAACTACCTCCGCCCTGACCTCAAACGCGGCAATTTCACCGAAGAAGAAGATGAACTCATCATCAAACTCCACAGCCTCCTTGGCAACAAGTAAGATACATACCAACCAATTAAACTGAAAATACTATTTGTTTGTTTATTGATGAGATGGGTACAAATGATAGGTGGTCTCTCATAGCTGGAAGATTGCCGGGGAGAACAGACAATGAGATTAAGAATTACTGGAACACCCACATAAGAAGGAAGCTTTTGAGCAGAGGAATCGACCCTGCAACTCACAGGCCTCTCAACGACTCCTCTCACCACAATCAACTTCAAGAATCACCTCCCGCCGCCACAATATCTTTTGCTCCCAAACAAGAGGAAAAGGACAACGTCTTTGTGGAGGTTAAGGATTCCAAGAGTCCGACATCGGAACGCTGCCCCGACTTGAACCTGGAGCTAACCATTAGTCCTCCCCATCACCAGGAGGAGGAGGAGGAGGAGGAGGAAGAAGAAGGTGACGATGAAGAGGATTTGAAGAGTATTGGGAGAAGCCTTTGCTTTGCCTGCAGTTTGGGTTTGCAAAACAGCAAAGATTGTAGCTGCGCCCTCGATGCCACAACCAGCCATGCCAACGCTGCTTCTGCCACCGGTTATGATTTCTTGGGCTTGAAAACAAACCCTTTGGACTACAGAAGCATGCAAATGAAATTAAATTAATTAATTAATTCAATTTGGAATCTCCCTTTTCTTTCTTTCTCTTCTTCTCTACTTTGTATGATTAATTAATTAGTTCTGGATCCATGGATGCACATGATACAAGTTCCAGCCAGTACACATGAACATTCTTCCCCACTCCCTTCCTTTTTCCTTGTGTTCATGTACTTCTTCTTGCCCCCTTCCGCGTATTTTCTTGATTCGTAAACGTGCCTAAACCCTGGTATAGTATAGATTCACTGTTTACTGTCACTATTATTAACTAATTAACTAACTACCAATACGATACCATGGCAACTGTTTCTTCTGTTATTTATGTAAATTCGATTCATCACTTCGATCCATGGCAGAGACAATTCCTTATCTCATTCATTCATAAACTTAAATCCTGGGATTCAGTTCTATTTGTTTAGATTCAATAAACCAGATTCGCTATATTCCGTTGTCTAGGTCTGGCAAACTTTTTAGTCGTTTTAATCGTATATAATCCTATAACATTTATAGTCAGTTAGTTATTTTCTCACTCATCTACTTCATAATTAATGCCACATAATATTTTTAAATTTAAAATAATGCTTTTTGCATGACATGTTAATAAATATTTATATTGATACAAATTTTCCATTTATTCGGCTAACTAATATCCTACGTACGTTAATTAAGGATCATAGATATACTTGGTTGGTATTTTTTTTATATATTCTTATTTCTTAAAAGTTAAGCATTTGTTATTTTATATTGTGATATATATTTCTGTTATTATTTCCAGTACTTCAACGAATATTTCGTATTAACTGAATTTCAATTTAATTATTTATCAAATATATCAGGTAACATCCAAACCTAAAGTAACCCCAAAAAAAATGCGGAGAAAAAGCAAGTGCATTTAACATTTTGAAGAATGAGGATTAATTATCCAAGAAGGAGGAACATATAAATGATCAACACATGCAAATTCTCTTTCATGGTAATTTAGTTTGATGAGGTATGTATATGGAACATGAAAGACTGAAAACAATTCAGATTCCTTTGTACTTTTGGGATTGTCCTTTACAGAGTTAAATGTTAAATAAAAGAAGAAAAATACGAGACTCATAGTTGTTGCCATGGAAAGAGTAAATGGAGAGGCTGGGACAGCAAAAGGGAAGGGAAGGTCCATAATTAATAGGGCAACTAAATTATATTATTTGTAGTTTAACACATTATTTGTGGTACCATTAATTCTACCATCCCGTAACGTTTAATTATTTAGGTCACGAGTCAACAAACTTAATTACTATACACGACTCGTTCATTCGTTATATTTTGGAGATTCATTTGGAGTTTGAGACGTAACTTAGGATTATAAGTTGAACCATTCGTTCATTCGTCATATTCTTAATTTTTTCTAAAATTTTTATTACTCACTTTTGTGATACTAGATAACAGTCCTTATTGACCTAACACTAAGGAAAAGTAACCAAATCTACGAGATAAATAACCAATAAATCAAAATAAAAAGGTTAACTTTTTTTTTTTTTCTTTTGGACTAAGCTGCCACAAGAAAGAGGGAAGAAAATCCATCCCCTTTATCTTTGCCGGAAAATATTATTACTAAATGCGATTCTAAAATTGGTGTCACGTTTTTGGGTGGGCAGACCATCATAATACCCTTCTTAATTGTAATATAGGAAGTGTTTGAAAAACACATTAAAAACGTGTTACAAATACATAATGTGATTCTTGTTATCATTAATAATGTTATTTGGTTGGAAAAAAATAGATTTTGTTCGGTTTTCAAAAACATGTTATGTCATTAATAATGTTTATTTTCAATATTACTTTTTATTTATTTATCATATTATAATAAAAATTTTAATTTTTCTTAAAATTATAAAACACCTAAAAATTGACCAATTTCATAACAAGAGCTAAATGAAACAATATTTGTTGAATAATGAAAACATTAATGAGAAAAAAAGAAGAAGAAATAGATAGATATGAGCAGAAAGGACAAAGTGGGTGGTAGATTATTTGCAGGGAGATCCCCAAAACCGTGGCCATATCCACACATAATGGGGAGCGTCACTTTTCAACCATCATCACCACACTTTTTCATTTTCAAACGTGTTAGGTAGAAACATTGGAACCTTCCACCACATATTTATATGCTTCCCTTTCCTTTAAATAATAAATATTTTTATTTTCCTACTCCAATTACGGCTTAGGCCTCCACACTTTTCTTTCTCATTTTAATTCTTTGCTTCTACTTTCCACTTTCTCAATTGTTAAATTGGTTCAACTTCCACCAACATCACATGCTCTTCAATACATAATGCTTTCTAACCCAAACAACAAAGTTAACATCTTTTAGAGTAAAATTCAGTGGGAGAATAATTTTCTGTAACTAAATTCAACTCAAACACCACGAAACTCGTAACTAAAAACCAAAATCAATAAAACAATGCTTCTCAAAAAATAAATTTACAACTAACAATATAAAAACCAATTTTATATCTTTATAAAATTACAGTGTCGATATAAACTTTCTGATAACTATTATATAAAAGTTGGTAGTTTTGTCTTTACCTTTTAGCTAGTTTTTGTACAAATAGCATAATTTAAAAATTACCAAAAAACGTGAAACGTAAATAATGTCATATAAACTGATAGAAATCAATTTTACTATAAATATGATTTTTTTTTCGGTAATACAATTGACCTTTTTTTTTTTTTGTTAAATGTCACAAAGGTATCTCATTTACTTTCATTTTTTTTAATCACATTGTCATTTGTCAACATTATTATAATTATTGCATTTAAACATATCGATTGGCCTCACAAAAGACAGGAAAACATGATTTCAACAAAATAAAATAATATAAAAATTGGTTGAATTTTGTTGGCTAATAAAGTTCTCAACGCACTACTCAAGGCATTCTTTGTTATTTGCTTTAAGACTACCCAACTACAAAACCGAATCAACCATAGGGTATTATGGATTTTGGTTTAGCTGTTTTGTTTGATAAAACATAAATAAGTGAAAAATAAAAAACAAGTAAACAAATAGTAGAATGAGTTTCACTTTTTTTTTTTTTTCAAAGTAATTTGATTCCATTTAAATTTTCATTGAATAAACCAAATTAATTATGTTACTTCCGTCATCGCCTTCCTTCCATAATTTATAAAGAAATCGTAAAGTGTAGTGGAAATAGAGTTGATAAAAACTTGTAAATTGACGCAAGTTGATGAAGAAGAGTGAAGGTCCGCAAGGTAATAATTACACGACAATAAATGATTGATAGAACATTTCAACCCAAAAGAGAGATGTGGGGAAGAGACAAAAACATTGCAACTTTGACAAGTTTATGGCTTTGTTTCGCTGCCAAATATTTCTACGTTCTGGGACCGGGCTTGGATGAGTTGGGCAAATGGGATAACCATTCTCAGTAAATATCACTTGTGTTGTGATGTGGTTCCTTTGCTTCGGCAATGAACCCAAAACTGTCAAAGCATATGATGCAATGAATAAATAGGTAGTTGCCAAACGTTACCACTTTTCAGGGACTGAAAGGCACATCCCAACCCTTCCCTGCCCAATTCATATTAAATGCACTCTATTTTTTGTTTCCAATTATTTTGCAACTTCCTTCTTCTTTTGGATCATAAATAACATTTTTTTTAAATAACTAATTTGAATAAGAATATCAAATATTTGGAGTCTTTCTGTAAGAAAAATAAGCCCATTAATTTTTTAAAAAGGGTAACTTTGTAAGACAAAAAAATTAAGCAAGTTGACTTTTATTCATACGGTACGTTGAATTCATCTTACCTTGCTCTCTTCTTTCTGGTCTTAGTATCGTGGTTATTTATTTGGAAATGACGAAAAGGGTAATGATAAAGTTTAAGTTTTTTTTGCTTCATTATTATTATTATTATAAATCAGAGTTTGGAAATGCTTTAATTACTGTGGGTCTGGCTAGAGGAGCTCTACAAATGAGATGGGCCAGAGCTAGGCCTCCCTCTACCAAATTGTGACATTGACAAGGTGATATAGAGCAGGATTATTGGCACCTGGCGCAAGATAGCAAAAACGCAGCTGGTAGGAAAAGTTCAGAGAGTTAGGTGACATGTCAGTGATTAAAATCATGAGGAGGAGATTTGTTCAAGCACTGGAAGAAGAGGGAAGAGGGATGGGGGAAAGGAGAGTAATCATATATGGATAATAAGTGCAGAGTGTATAGAATAGTTTCTGGTGTTGATGAATAATTTTTGAAAAAGAGAAAGAAAGTGCAGGAGCAGGAAGAATATATAAATGTAGTGTGTGGAAGAGAAGGAGAAAAGAGGATATGATAAGCATGGATTCCCCTATAGTTAGGTAGTGGTTAATTGGTTGTGTTTGGTTTGGGTGACAGTGATTGGTGTGTGTGTCTGTGAGAGAGAGAGAGAGAGATCCCCAAAGTCATAATCCCATCAATGCCATGTAGTTCCTTATCAGTCAACTATCCATCCCTTTCAACAAAACGGAGCCTAGCTCACAATTTCTCTTCTTTTCATTTCTTGTTCAACCCCTCTTCCCTCCTAAACCTCATTCTGTCTCTATTTTTGTTCACAGCACAACTCCCCTTATCGAATGCAGAAGCTCCTTCTGAATCATAAATCCTGCCTCGGTACTGTTTGGTTTAGGCTAGATTTCAGTTACATGAATGATGATACGCCCTGCCATGTGATCTCAAAACTTTTTCTCACATTATATGCTTTATGAGAGCAACCGGGTATCATTTTGTGACACCTATGCCATACCAAACATCCTTAATTGACACTTCATTTGCATAACGAAACCAATTATTAGTTTGAGTGAGAGGTGTTATTGTTAGTTAGTTAATACGTGGGGAAAATAAGCATTGAAAGCACGTGTTACATTGTTCCGCCACTACCTACACGCATTGCATGATACAAAAGTAACAAGGATGAATTTTGCTGCGAACATTTTACCAAACATCCATTTAGAAAAATACCAACAT